AAAATTCGTCACTAGGACCCTGTAATCTTTCCCGCCAAAATTTGTAGTTGGGATCTGGAATGTTTGTTTACCCGAGGAAATTTATCAACAGTATTCAGGTCTTTTACGAGCTGGAATTTATCACAGAGAGCAGCTGGAATGGGAAATATAATTCACAACACACACACACACACACAGATGGTCTCGCCGTGGTTCTGGGAACTTCTCCAGAGAGTTCCTACGTGCTCAAGGGCCCCGTCATTCTATTCACTGGGGAAAAAAATAAATAACAAATTGCTAGTTAGCTTTGGAATTGCAATGTTTGAAGTACTGCCTTGAAAGCATCAGAGAGAGAGAGAGAGAGAGAGAGAGAGAGAGAGAGAGAGAGAGAGAGAGAGAGAGAGGTGAGAGAGAGAGGGAAGAATGAAGAGAGAGGAGAGGGAGATAAGGTATGTGGGTAGGGCAGGTGAGGGAGGGAGAGGGGTGAGGGAGGAGAGGGGAGTGAGGGAGGGAGGAGAGGTAATCTGTCACCTGCAGGAAGACTTTTCAGGCTTGCGCACACACACACACACACACACACACACACACACACACACACACACCTAAAGGATGGTGAGTGAGTGAGTGCTACCCACACACACACACACACACACACACACACACACACACACACACACACACACACACACACACATACACACACACACACACCTATGAAGGATGCAGGTGAGTGAGTGAGTGAGAATTACACCACACACACACACACACACACACACACACACACACACACCACATACACACACCTATGAAGGATGCAGGAGTGAGTGAGTGGATCACCCACACCACACACACACACACACACACACACACACACACACACACACACACACACACACACACTTGAGGTGAGGAGTAGGGTGGTTATCACACACCACACACAACACACACACACACACACAACACGTGATATTCATTCCACACCAAATAAAATAAAATCAATAATTATTTTCAACATCTGCCTGTGTGTGTGTGGGTGGGGAGGGGGGGGCATACGAGTAATAATAGGAGGAGGATGAGGAAGAAGAGCAGGAGGAAGAAGATGAGGAGGAAGAGGATTAGGAGGAGGAGGAAGATACCTAAAGTAAATGGAAGTAATACAAAAGCCTCAGGTGTTTATACTTAGGGAGACGAGAGTAAGGAACAGGAGGTCTTGACTACCTCCATCTGTAAGTGACGCCTGGAGGTGGGAGGGTTGAGGTTGAGGTTGAGGTTGAGGTGGAGGTGGAGGTTGAGGGATGTGGAGGTTGAGGTTGAGGTTGAGGAGGTTGAGGTTGAGGTTGAGGTTGAGGTTGAGGTTGAGGTTGAGGTTGAGGCTGAGGTTGAGGTTGAGGTGGAGGTTGAGGTTAAGGTTGAGGTTGAGGTGGAGGTTGACAGGAAGTGGAGAAATAGCAGGTGAATGTAGGTAAGGGTGGATGAAGCGATAGGAAGTAAGGGAGGAGATAAGAAGGAAGGGAGAGGAGGAAAAAAGGGGGTTTAGGGGGATGTAAATGTGTGGTGGTAAAGGGGAAGAGAGTTGGTATGGATCAGAGAAGCCTTCAAGTTTCCAAAGGGGAGGAGGGGGGGGCATGAATTTATAAAGGTGTTTTGAGTGAGCCCCTAACCTGTGAATGCCTGCTGAGACAAAGGTGCAGGGTACTTGTGATCTGAGGGAGAGGGGAGAGGTGTGTGTAGGGGGTGTATGTGGGGGTGTATGTGGGGGGGTATGTGTGGGGGGTGTATGTAGGAGTGTGTTTGTGTGTGTGTGTGTGTGTGTGTGTAAGATAACATTATTCTTATAAGAGAAACAAACAAAATGAAGATAAATAAATAAATAAAAGACTCGAGGAATAAAAAAAAGTGGAAAATTTGTAGAGAAGGAGAGACAATATGGATAAAGGAGGAAGGAAGAAGGAAGGAAGGAGGAGGAATGAGGGATCAGTTAGTAAAGGTGTGAGAGACGATTGAGCAAGGATCCTTCGACACGCTCTTCCTCCCTCCCAGGTTATGTAAGACTGATCACACACACACACACACACACACACACACACACACACACACACACACACACACACACATTATTTTCTGCCCTCAGTGATTTATTCCGAAAAAAAATTAAATACGAAAAAAAAAATACAAATAAAAAAAAAAAATATGTGTAAAAATAGATGAGACGACAAGATAAAGTCAGAGAGTAATTAGAGGCGAGTGAATGAGCCCTTGAGTTACTGAGGGGAGGGGGAGGGGGGGAGGGGGGGCTAGATGGATAGTATAATAAAAGTAATTGAACGGTAAAAAGATCTTTAAAGGAAATATCTATCTATCTATCTATCTATCTATCTATCTATCTATCATTACATCACACGCAGCCAAATAGAATTGAACGTAACATTGGGAATTTTTCGGCGAATTTTATCTCCGTTCTAAACATCACAGCATCCCCTTCCTCCTTCCCCTCCCTTCCCTCTTCCCTTCCCCCTTCCCCTTCCCTTAGGCTTGAGTAAATATTGATCCCTGGCCTACACAGTCATACTTGCCAGTCCAGATAGGATGGAGTCTACACCAACCACAGTTTATTCCATGCATAATAGATTTTGTGTTTGTACCATTAAAATACACAAGGGGGGAGTATGGACCCGTGTGTGTGTGTGTGTGTGTGTGTGTGTGTGTGTAGACGTTTATAGAGCACACAACAGGGTATGTACGTGTCTATATAGATATATTTAGAAGGACATTGTGAGTTATTTATACAAGTGGTTTTATTTATAGCAAGACACACCAGGTATGAATGACAGCCAACGAGAGGGAGAGAGAGAGTGTGTGTTATACCCTTGCAGTGCCTACCTATACCTGGTCTGAGAAAGTCATGTGTGTAGGTGTGTAGGTGGGTGGGTGTACGTCTCCTTCACCTCCTGTTATCTCTCTCTCTCTCTCAGCTTACGAGGCATTTAATGAGGGAAAAAGTTGGTAAAATACTCTTTTTTTCCTCGACATGATTCAGATGTATTGAAACTGACTTCTTTTGTTTTTGTCACGCGTCGTATGGATGTTTTAAAACCAAAAATAAAAAATAAAATAAAATAAATTAATGGCGGAACTTCAAACGTCTATTATTTATAAAGGAGAGGGTTGGGGGTAGGGTAGAGGGTGGGGGTGGGGGGTGGGGTGGGGGGGTGGGGGCATATTTTAAATGTTGATCTATGAGGTGTCAGATAAACACATGCCTGTATATATCCTCCTCTCCCTCCGTCCTGTCCTGTCCCGTCCCCTCCCCCACAGATCGTCAAATATTCATATAATCAAAATTTAGTAGACAGGTGGACATTGATTGATGGATCATAATTTGGTATCACTCAACTCAATTCTCCTCCCTCTCCTCTACCTCCACCTCCACCTCACTCCCACCTGACCTCTTTCACGATTATTCAAGATGTGTACAGGTGTGTTGAACGAGGTGTGTGGACGCAGTGTGGAGGGCGGTGTGAGGGCGGGGTGTAAGGGCAGAGGTGAGGGCGGAGTGTGAGGGCGCGGGGGGGGGGTGAGGGGGTGGGGGTGGGGGGGGGGGGGGGGGGAGGAGTGTGAGGGCGGGAGTGGAGGGGCAGTGTGAGGGCGGAAGTGAGGGCGGAGGTGAGGGCGGAGGTGAGGGCGCAGGTGAGGGAGGAGGAGGGCGGAGTGTGGGGGCAGTGTGAGGGAGGAGTGACTGTGAAGCTGACTAAAGAATGCCTCGGATGTTGGCTAGAGTGGACGAACCAGCACGGCTTAATCACGCACTATTATATCCTAGCTCCCACCCCCACACAGCTCCCACATCCACACACAGCTCCCACACACATCCCTAGACACCCCTACACACCCCACACACCGACACCCCTACACACCCCACACATCCCACAACACCCCTACACACCCCACATCCCACACATCCCTACACACCCTACACACACCCAGCCCCACACATCACACACCACCCCAACATCACACCAACACCACACGCCCCACACACATCCCACACACCCCACACACCCCCACACATCCCACACATCCCTACACACCCTACACACACACCTCACACAGCTCCCACACACCGTCGTTTCACCAAGACCAAAGAAGTTTCCTCAACACAGGTAAAGGAGACAAAAATACCTCAGGTGAACACTACTGCTGCTGCAATAACCCGTAAACCTAATCTCCCCAGCGTTTCCTCACCTCCCCCTTGGCTCAGTGACCTTCCCCGCGCCAGGGTCAATAGGTCATATCTATCTCACCTGTCTTGACCTCGTTTCGTACCTGGAGGATGGAACTGTTGGTTTACGTGAGGTGTTGTTATTATGTCGTTCCTGGTGATGTTTTAAATTATTAGATAAAGATAACCAATTGTTTTAACCTCACGAAGATGTGGTTTTAACCCCCTTTGAGGAGTGTAGGTTTAATGGTCGTTCTTACAGAGTTAAAACCTAAACCATCGTCTTGAATTGTTTTTGTTTTTTTAAGCCATCATCACTTTTTCCCTCTATCTTTCTTTTAATTATTTTTCTTGTATTTTTTATTATTAGTTATGTTTATTCGTTTTTTTTACTTTTCTATCTATCTATCAATCTATCTATATATCTATCTATCTATCTATCTATCTATCTATCTATCATAATCACTGACATATAAGGTTTGGTCTTTAAAATATCGTCTATTTATCACCAGGCTGTAGCGTGACTGAATTAACTGACGTGTGATGAAAAGGGGATTTTATTTATTTTTTAATATTTTGTAAAATTTATCGGGCCTTTAATTAGTGTATTTTTATTATATTACGTTTTTAATATTGTTTAGTGAGGCGAAATATTGTCTTTATGAAGAAGAGAGAGAGAGAGAGAGAGAGAGAGAGAGAGAGAGAGAGAGAGAGAGAGAGTGTGGTGTGTGTGTGTGTGTGTGTGTGTGTTTATCATCACTATATAATCATTTAACCTGTAATGTTTCTCGTTGTGTCTTAGGTATCACCGGGTTCGAGCTGCTTCACATCAGTGGTCGAGACAGATTCAGAAGAGGTGAGTAAATGAAGCTCTTATCTCACTCCTCTTGTCTATTTTAAGGAGCCACTCGGTCACTACACTCACCTCACGCACTTACACACACACACACTCAACGCACACACACACTTCACACTTGTACTGTCGTTACACGGACACTTATGTTACACTTGCAGTCTTATAAAAATTGACACTCACTCACTCACTCACTCACTCACACACTCAATTGATGACCCCCTGACTAGTATGAATAGAGAGGTGCATTACGTGGAGTGAGGTTACCTGTAGTTCATGAGTGTGGGGCGTGAGTCAGTGGTAGCAAGAGCCTCACTCCTTCCTCAATCTTCTCCACACTTGGGTAATTCATATTATTTTTTTTTCAAGAGTCTAAGAGTCTTCTGTTTACATGACTGACTCTTGTTCCGCCGTGGTGGAGTGGCAGGTGAGTGTGTCTATTGATTGGTGTGAGAGCCTTGAGTGATTTACAAAGCTCAGGTGAGTTAATTGGTGTTTAATTTACGTTTTTTCCAGGTGTTTATCTTTTTTCTGTGTGTGTGTGTGTGTGTGTGTGTGTGTGTGTGTGTGTGTGTGTGTGTGTGTGTGTGTGTGTGTGTGTGTGTGTGTGTGTGTGTGTGTGTGTGTGTGTGTGAATACATATACAAAACCATTAAAATTTCAAATGACTTATATTATTCCTTTAAACTATTTACAATTTATTAGCATTGGATCCCATTAAATATAACACCTCCACATATATTGCTTCAGTATAATATATTCTGATGACATATAACATTTGAGTACTGAAACACCATACTGTAACCCACTATGGCACTATATTACACTGTGTATATTATATAACGAAGAGAGAAACAATATGTCTGTTATATTTGTTCTATATAATGTATATATCATACATACTTATTGTCTCTATATATATATGACACTTTCTATAACATGCGGCAGTATATCGTTAACTTTGACCTACTCATAATTTACACTCAGGTAAATAAATGAAATCGGAGGAATGCAAATTTGATGAATGAAAATCCAACTTTTGGCTTCATTGTTGTGTAAGTTGTATATTTTCTCTCTCTCTCTCTGTCTCTCTCTCTCTCTCTCTCTCTCTCTCTCTTAAAGTTTAGTTCCTAAGGTCACCACCACAAACAAATTGCTTAATAAATTCTCCTCATCCTTCCTTCCTTCCTTCCTTCCTTCCTTCCTTCCTTCCTTCCTTCCGGCACCGCTCACCCCAGAGATGTTTTCTTCACACGTACCTAACAATTTAATCATTACATCATTATTATCAAAAGACAAAGAACAAGGTGCATAATGGCGCTTTCTTTTCACGCGGGGAGGGGGGGATGGAGAGGGGTGGGAAGGGGGAGGGCAGGAGTGAGGTGGAGGGTTGAGGGGCCATTGAGTGCTGCCATCTGCCTGTCAACACCGATACTATACATACATACATACATACATGCATACATACATACATACATACATACATACATACAGCGAGCTTGAGGTAGGAAGAATGTGTACTCAGATACTCCACAATGTTGTATTAAAGAATTAGATTACTGTGTCTTTCTTTGTTCTTCTTGTTCTTCTTGTTCTTGTTCTTGTTCTTGTTGTTGTTCTTTTTCTTGTACTTGTTCTTGTTCTTGTTCTTTTGTTCTTGTTCTTCTTCCTGTAACTCGTTATCAATTTACGTGAGTGACGCTGATGGTGGGGAGTTACGGCACTCTTGATTGATGGAAGGAAGGAAGAAGGAATAAAGGAATGAATGAATGAAGGAAGGTAGGATGGAAGGAAGGTAGAAGGAAGGAAGGAAGGTAGAAGGAAGGAAGTAATGAATGAATTAAGAAAGAAAGGATGGAAGGGAAGTAGAAGGATGGAAGGAAAGATGGAAGGGGGGTACAAGAAAGGAAGGAAGGAAGGAAGGAAGGTTAGAAGGATGGAAGTAAGGAAGGAAATAATGAAGGAAGGAAAGGAGGAAGGAAAAACTTACAAACACCAAAGGAATGAAGAACAGTATTGTCGCATCGTATAAGAATTTTAATGGTAAACGAGTGATCAGTTTACGTCAGTCACTCCTACAATAGATTTATCGAATATATTCAGTGACAAACGATCAGTCACCGTCAGGAGAGAATTACCCTGTCCACGCCCACCCCATCCTATCCCCGCCCACGCCCGCCTCATCCCATCCAGCCCTAACCTAACGCCCCCGCCCCGTGTCCCTGGTAACTGCACTTCTTCAGGAGGGTAAATTGAACCACGCGGAAGGGAAATGTATATGCTAATTTGACTTCAAGTTTGGCCGTGTTGAAACTTTGGTTGCATGGCGTTGATGAATTTGGGGTGTGTGGGTATTGATAGATAGATAGATAGATAGATAGATAGATAGATAGATAGATAGATAGATAGATTAGGTCACGGGAAGGTCAGGTCACACATGAGATATATAATAATTTGAGGAAAAGGTCACGGGTTGTTTGGTCATATTAGAGTTAACACGAAT